TTAGTTAGATTATCAATGCATATATCATTATGAGTAATTTTTTTATAAAATTTAAATATAATATACATATGAGACGTGTGCAACACGATAAATATCTAGAGTAACCCATGTAATAAATAGCCAAAATATAAATTATTTAAAAAATGTACACCTATAGTGAATTTTATCGTTTGTTTAATTTCGTTTCCAACATAATATCATACTTATTGTTACGGATTGATATATACGAGTATATATAACAACGTTAGGTAATTTATTTCGTAGTTATAGATGAGTTCAATAGAACTTTGCATTTATAACATGTTTTAATCCCATATATAGTAGGTGCCTATAYAATAGTAATTTGATATATCAAACCTACCCCTAACCTCAAACCTAATCAGACTATATTATACTTTACACTCATGCGTATTTTGAATTATCATATTATCATAATCCATAACATGTATTGCATTAGATACTTATGTTTAATTTTTTTTTCAATCTTCGCCTAAATTATAAGTTATAACATACGTATAAATTAAAACTACAAAATCGAATAACTATTAAGCCAGTACAATAATATGATAATATAACTGCAGTCTGCAGAMAAAACTAGAAATACGCGTTTTTAACAGTGTATAGGTACTACATGACTAATTCAATGGTTGATGACCTTTTTTGTGTATAATTTCCACTATTAGAAGATTATTCACCTGCACAAAAAATTACGTTAGTATACTCTTACACCATCAGTTAAGTCGTATAAAATTATATACTCATAGTCTAATATATAATATTATTAACCGAAATTCGTACAAGAAGGTACACCCTGGTTTTGGTATATAAACATTGTACTATTATCAGTATTTATTTTTATTTTACAGTTTACAAGTAAAAAGGTACAAATTATAATAATATGCAATATATTTATTATTGATTATACTAAAAACTGTTCGCTTATGACTTTATGATTGCATATTGAAAGCTGAAGTTCTTAGAGTAATAATTTGAACGTGCCAAAAATAACTGTCAGAATTTAAAATATGTACCATTGTTGAAACCTAAAATCTGACTTATATAACATTTACACACATATATATTTATTATGACGTCGGATTTATGATTTGATTCCCCGTGAATATTATGCATTATGATTTTTGATTTTTACAAGAGACTCATTACGGCATCCGATAACGCGTTCGACTCGTTTTGTGATATGATTTTTTATTTTACAATATCCGTTAGTATTTTTGCTTTGAATATCATAAACATAAATTTAAAGTACCTATGTAGGCAGTTACGTAATTAGACAAAGAAAAATTACAATWAAATTTGCGATATGTATTTCATAATTATATAATATCGTTAATATAATATACGAGTATACTATATTATGCATRTTATCTTAAATAATTTAAATACGCAGTTATAAAAAATATATACATATATTTAAAAATTTTATGATCAGCARTGAATCAGAAAAATCCTGCTGTACTAGTACAATATAATATTATTATCTCCTACATTATATGTTATCGTAAAATTAAACTTGGTAGGTAYGCACCCAATCGCGACTTTAACCGTTAAGCTACCACCGTAGTAGTCGTGTAGTTAGATATATATTATGTATTAGTATAACTGTATTATTATGTATTCGTGTTTTTCTGGTTTTGGTGAACGAGAATTTATCATTCAGAGATGACCAATTACCATTAAAACATAACGTGAGTACCTGTACTTAGGTATCAACCACCTGCAAATAAACCGTTTGGATGATCATTAAAATTGTCATCGATCTGGTTCTTGACGACTTCGGTCATCAACACGAAATTTGTCGAGGAAAACTAACCGCACKCAAGAAATTTACATATATGTATACCTATGACGTACCAATATTATGTTATACAATAATGCGCAAACGTCGCTTTGGTAGCTTCAGGTTTATTATATAATATAGGTAAATATAAAACGATATAATATAAATTCGATATATTGTACGCAGTTGGGGAAATACCTACGTGAATCGCAGAACACTAAATAATTATTTGATACGATTATATATGTACAGTATATAGATACCAAAAAATAGAGAGATACGGCGAAGTATTGAATCTCTGCGATCAGTGAAGTTTCAGCACAGAATAAATAAAATCTATTCTGTAGTTTCAGTTCAATACTATAGCGATAATATACGAAGATTAACGTTTTAATTAACTATATATACTAGCATGACTAACTAAATAATTTTATAGATAATATATTATGATAGTATATTACATTTATTACTATCAACATTGCACGTGGTTATTTATACTAGTAATTATTATTATTGTATACAGACTGTCCCACGTAGTGTGTTGTGTAATGTTTACTGATTTCTATTAAGGTAATTGGATCTTACATATAAGAAAAAGCTATGAAAAATAAAAATAAAATATTTCTACGTCTGTGTAACTATGATATCTCGATAATCGTATATACTCTAAACAGTCTAAACTGAACATACGTTCGACATTTTATGGTTAATTTTTCTATACCCTCTCTTCGTAAAAAAATGCACAGACGAAACAAGATACAGAACAATATCGAAAATACAATAACTAGGTAGGCATTACTCATTACGGTGCCGCTCGAAATCAAAAATCGTGATTCATGATTTTTTTTAAAGA